GTTGTAAATAAGGATGATAGCTATTCATCCGAGGTGAGAGATAGATGAGAAAGCTAGGATTTTTCGAGTTTGTGTTTGGTTGGTTGGTCTTTTTTTTGTTGTTGTTCCTAACACCTCTCCAGAGATGCAATCAGGTGGCGTCGAGTCTCCCAGCTTTGGAAGAGAAAAGGTTGTTGTGAACCTTTTCGGTTTGGGTCGTTGGGTTGTTTTTTTGTCTCCCCTAGAAGTGTTAAAGAAAAAAAGGAAAAAAAAATAGGAAAACCCACAAAAAGCCAAGAAGAAAAATGAGTAGAAGAGCTTGTGTGTTAAGTGCATTTTTTGTCTCCTCTTGGAGGAGCGAGAAGCCAAATTGCGATGGGACTTTCGTTCTTGAGATTTGATAGCAAAGAAAAATCACCCCCCCTACAAGCCCTCCCAGCCCCCCCATCCCCCCTTGGTGAGGATTTGAGGAGAGGAGGGGGATGGGACGTGGGGACCCTGGGCTGAACCAGCTCCAGGCACCGACTGCACTTGGGAAGAATTAGGATTCGAAGGGTTTTGAACGTGGAACTTTCGTTTGGTGAGGATTTGAGGAGAGGAGGGGGATGGGACGTGGGGACCCTGGGCTGAACCAGCTCCAGGCACCGACTGCACTTGGGAAGAATTAGGATTCGAAGGGTTTTGAACGTGGAACTTTCGTAGTCGAAACGAAAACACGAGCGGGGGGAAAAAGAAAGAGGAAGAGAGTTTGGGAAAAGGCTCCTCTCCTGGGATTTATAAAAAAATAATAAAGAAAGAAAGAAGTCAAAGCTGCACGTGTGACTGCAGGGGGGGTGGAAGAGAGAAGGTTCTTCCCAGAGACCCCCCCCCAACTCCCCACGCCTCCTTGGGACCACCGAGGATCCCGACCTGCTGGGCTCCCCCCTTGGTGCACACTGGAGACCTGATTTCTCTGCTCTTGAAATGTACCTGCCAGCTGACTTTTCCTGATGATTCGTTTCTTTTTTGTTGTTTTATTTTTTCTCTCTCTTTTTTTTTTCCCCTGTATTATTATTATTGTTGTTATTATTATTGTTATTTCCCGTTTCGTTGTGGGTCTAGAGCAGAGTGGAAACGCCTCTCGAGGGGCTTTGGGTGTGTGTGTGTGTGGGGTGTGTGTGTGTGTGTGTGTGTCCCACCCCCAACTCACCCTCTGCCTTCCCAGGACTTCCCTTGCCAAAGAGCCACCTCATCCCATCCCCTGGAATCCCACATCCATCCCCTGGGATCCCACATCCATCCCTTGGGATCCCACATCCATCCCTTGGGATCCTACATCCATCTCTTGGGATCCTACATCCATCCCTTGGCATCCCACAGCCACCCCTTGGGATCCTACATCCATCCCTTGGGATCCCACATCCATCCCCTGGAATCCCACATCCATCCCCTGGGATCCCACATCCATCCCTTGGGATCCCACATCCATCTCCTGGGATCTTACATCCATCTCCTGGGATCCCACATCCATCCCCTTGGATCTCACATCAATCCCTTGGGATCCTACATCAATCCCTTGGGATCCCACATCCATCCCCTTGGGATCCCTCATCCATCCCCTTGGATCTCACATCCATCCCCTGGGATCCCACATCCATCTCCTGGGATCCCACATCAATCCCTTGGGATCCCACCTCCATCCCTTGGGATCCCACATCCACCTCCTGGGATCCCACATCCATCCCATGGGATCCCACACCCTCCCATGGGATCCCACCTCCATCCCCTGCCCATCCCTGGAGATTCCAGTTCCCTCAAGAAAAGCTTCACTGGAAGGGGAGGTGGGTGGGATGTCAGCCCCTTTTTGGGGGGGGGGACCCCTCTGCACCCCCCACCCCTGCTCTCCCTCCATCTCCCAGCACAGCTTCTGCTGCTGGAGGTTTTTTAATCCCCATCTCCCCCCACCCCCCAAAAAAAACCCCAACCCACCCTCCCTGGGAGGGTTAAAAAAACACCTCGGGGGGGTTGTTGGGGGTTTTTTTGGGGGGGTTGTGAACTGAACTTGACCTTCTCCCAGGGGCCAAACCCTGGGTCAGCCCCAGCCCCCCCTGCCCTGATCTCAGTCTTCATTGGTTGCTTTGGCTTTGTTGTTTGTTGTGTTGGGTTTTTTTTGGGGGGGGGGGGGTTTATTTGGGTTTTCTCGACTCTTTCCTAGTGGCCACGACCAGAAATTCTCCACCTCTTGCTCCAGCATCCAGCAAGTTTTCAGATTCTTGTATTGACTTGTTTTTATATGGGGAGGGGGGAAAAAAAAAGAAATAATAAAAAAAACCACAAACCACAAAATAATGATTAATAATAATGAGATCAACACGTTCTTTGTACACATTTCTTCTGTACTTTTAACCAAGGGGAGGGGGAGATCTTTCCATGGAAACAACAAGAATCCTGGTTCTCTAGTTTCTTATGATTCCTATGGATATTTTTTGTTTAACTCTTTGATTTTTTGGTGTTGTCCTCGTGCACACGTGGGTGGCTTTTCCAGGGCAGGGTCTCTTTGGCAATGAAATGATGTTCAAGAGGTTTCTCCACCCCCTTCCCCTCCCCAACCCCTCAACCACCACCTCCTCGCCCTCCCACCTCCCCAAAATAAGACAAAAAAAACAGGCAAGTAGCAGAGCATGGACCCCCCCAACCCCCTTGTTTTCCCAGTGTCTGTTATTGCCTCATTCAATAAATTGTTATAAACGTGTCGACCCCTGCGTCCAGATCTCCTGTTTGGGGGGGTCTTTTTTGGGGGGGGGTTGGTGTATTTTTGCCATTTTGGTGGATCAGGGCTTGGTCCCACCCTCCCCCCTTTGCCCCCTCCTTGTTGGAGTTGGGAGAAGAGGAGCTGGGCACAGATTTTTGGGGTTTAATTCTCCCTTTGTGCAGTTTCTCTCGTTCCTTTTGGCTCTTCCGGCAGCGACTCGGGTGGAAACCGTGGAAGGTGCTCGAGCATCCCCACCCCCCCCTCCCACCCAAGTGCTTTTGGGTTGAATTCCTCCATTTTCAGC